TGGTCACATTGGTGACCAGTGAGTCACAATTTCGAGCCCTGCTGTATAAAAGTTAATTTGCATGTATCATGCACAGAAAATGTGTATAGCCACCATATAACACACACAATCAGGTTCTGCAAAACCCATGCCCCATAAACAATTATTGACCAGATACCATGAGCTGAAATAGTCACCAGGTTGATTCTCACTTGAGCCTAATATACTTTTTAAGGCTTTCATTTCATCTACTTAAGTTAAAAAGAATTGCAATAGTGTTGCAATTTTATGCCGCAAAATAACAAATACGAAACTTCATATCCTTACATGGAGAGCCAAATAATTGAGTATCATCAGTTAAGTAATGAAAAGTGGAAACTTACAATGATCCTCATGAAGTAGTTAGACTTCCACGTTGCCTTGTCTTCCCTAACCATTTTGACTGGTGAAGGATTGCGCAAGTGTAGCGTTTAAAGACTAGAAAAGAAACAAATCATGGTGTTAACTGATTCTGTTACAGTAGCTGGTACAGGACTAAAAAAACACTTGGAATTCTGGTTTGCCCTTTTGACAAGCAACTCTCAAATTTTCCTTGTCCTGGCCAACTTTTGTCCTGATTAAGTTGGCAGATGACTTGCCTGGGCCTTTGCCCACAGGCAAGTGAGAATGACAAGAACCACTATGGAGGATAACAAAACCATTAGTGCCAGCCAATTAAAAATTTCTGAAAAGGCTAGGGAAGGCTCAAAATGGGTTCAAGTAGATGATGCCCCTGAGGTGGCTTACAACTATGACTTAGACTTAGAGTTAGCCATTGGCATCCCTAAACCTATTTCATTGGAAAACAAGTTGTTAAATAACAACCATGAAATTGTGACACAAAACTGGAGTGTTACAGACTTTCGTGCACAAGCAGTAAAACTGAGACCAACAAATATTTCTATATTTGTAATTTATAAATACAAGACCTATTGTCATGTGAACTGAGCCTTCACTTCATTGATCAATACAAAATATTATTTTTTGCACCTTTGGTATTAATCCTTCAACACCCAAGGAACACCCTAAGGCCCTGTTTCAAATGTCAAACTTTACATGTGCCAAACAAACACCATATTTAGGTTGCACAGGCAATGGACATTTTAAATACCAACTTTTTAAGTTTAACTGCGTGATCGTACAAAAAAAAGCAAAACAGGGAATCGTACTTTCAATCGAACGCAAAATTAAGAAAACAGTGACTGTTACTTAAAACAAATATACAGTGAAACCTCTATTAAGCGGATGCCCTCGGGACCTTCCCAAGTGACCGCTTAATAGAGGGTGTCTGCTTAATAAAGGTTTATAACAATTGCACAATGTTTGTTAACAATCAACACTCAACGGTTCCTCTGTACTGTAATAAAGTTCCAGGTTGTTAACAAAGCTATCCAAAGTTCAAGTTCATCACCTTTCATTACCAACTTTAATTTGTTTGTAATAATGCCCTTTCCATACAGCAACGATAATCGGGTTACATTTAATCAACTATTTAATCGACTACTTCAAGGACGTGATCCAATGCCACATTGTCAATTCAGTCCGGTGTCTGCTTAATAGARGTTTTTAACAATAGAAATTAGCCAAATACAATTTATTTTAGTGTCCGCGTCTGCTTAATAGAGGTGTCCGCTGMATAGGGGTTTGTTATAAAGGAAAATATAAGAAGTTWATTTCGGGACCAGGCTAAGTGTCCGGTTGTGTCCTGGTGTACTGGAACACAGAGGGAATAACCATTGTACTTCTTTCTTTACGAACCTTTGTTTAGCTGTTGAACATTGTTGGGTCTTTTGTATTGGTTCTTGTGAACCTGTACACAAGGACCGAACCGAGTGTCCGCTTAATAGAGGGTGTCTGCTTAATTGGGGGTCCACTTAATAGAGGTTTCACTGTATATTTGTTAGCGACAATTCTTAGGCGTTCAGAAAATATATACTTTGCCGGGGTTTGGTGAAACAACTGACCGTAAAGAGACGCAAAAGCATGTTGGTCATTTACTGATAGTGATAACCAGCGTGAATACAGTCTATGAAACCATGGCCAATGTCGAAACATAATGTGTTTTGGCTGTTTTTATCGCACCATTGTATAGTTAAGGGTTCCAGGTAGACAAGCAGTTATTATATAGAGATTTATACACAGAAAAAGGAACGTCTACGCAAACATTTAACGACAAGACCTCACCACGACTTACTTCAAAGCCAACGTGAAAGAAAGAGAACTTAGCACGTGTCCATGATACAGACCATAATATTTTTTGTGCTACCCATAATGCATCTATCATTGTCGGGGCTTCGGACTTTCTCGATCCCTGTCGCCGAAACCGAACGCCGCGCCGAACGCCGTTTCCCAGGAGTAGAGGTAGAGGAGAAAGTGCTTGAGCTTTGGTAAGTGATTCGTTAAAATTTGGTTAGAAATAGCAAAATCTTGCCACAACACTTTGTCCATGCATTCATGCGGTGATCTAGTTTCACTTAAAATTTAAGCTTAAATGGTAACGGAAGTATCAATCACTATTCCTTTTTACGACATTTGCATCTCCTCTGTCGCATGGTGCAAATTTTGGTCTGGCACCCTCCCACTTTATGGTACACTCGAGGTGCATGTATAGAAATCCTATGCCCCGGTCCGAAGAGTCCCAAGATATTCCTCCTTTTACATAGAGTTGAAGATATTTTAGCCATGCATATGTTAACCTTTTAAAAATTATACGGATGGTCTCATGAAATTAATTATACGGCCGGATGGTCTCATGAACTAGTTTGAGGTGTGAATAATTTGTGCTCTGGAAATATCCACATCCCTGACCAACAGAAGCTCCTTCATGTGTGAGCTTCCTCACTCCTCTGGAAATTGTAGTTAAGCTTCATGTTCTTCTTTAAAATGTTTCCTTTTGGTACCCCCATCCCCACAGAATTTCCGATGGCCAGGGGTTTCAGTAATGCCGACTGCATCCATGAAAATTGACCAGCTGTGAGGACGATATGACCATCTAGAGGAAAATTTTTCTCATGAAGTTCAGTCTAAAAACTTATGCCGCCTGTGAAAATCGGTTGTCTCCCTGCTGAAACCCGTGCCCACCCTAATTGCTATGGCTCTGTCAATTCCAAATCCACTCATTCCCCTCCCTCCCCCCCCCACTTGGTATTTTTCAAGTATTTGTCATATGTTCAAATGTCCCTTGGGAGAGCCAGCTCATTTGCACGGGGAAGACAAATTTTGGTGATGGAGGCAATAACTGTTGTTATTATATGGCTAGCCCCGTGAGGGGGCAGGATGAATCAAATCCTGCACTGTGACTGGCTACCCGAGCGGGCAAGATGGAGCTATCTTGCCCGCTTGGGACTGCCCGCCGTGTCCCACGAGAAAAATTTCCCCGAAAGCCATATAATAAATCCTTTATTGACCAAGCTTGTTCGGTCAAGATGGCTGGACATTGGCCTCATTCTTTTTTTGCGAGTTTATGGACCTCGACTCCTTCTCAGTCCATAAACTCGCAAAAAAAGAACCTGGCCAATATCCAGCCATCTTGACCTCACATCTGGTCAATAACCCATATTTCACAAATAAATAGCCACTTTTTTCTTTCGGTGGTCCAGTGTTTTCATAATTTGTCTCTGCTGACAGACAGCACGGAAAAGACTGACAAATAAATGGATCTCATTAACTGTCCTGTTTTTTTAGAGCAATGCACCCATGGAGAGTAACAGAACTTAGTAAATAAAAAACAACAACTGGCATTCCATTTCATCAGGGACTTTATGACCATATTTAGAACTGTGTTTGATTACCAGTGATAAGCTATATTAACAAGGCTTCCTTGTACCATTCTGGCTTGCATGGAGAGAACATTGTACATTTTTGTGCATGGAGGTGAGAGTGGAGCTCCAAGGTTTGCTTGAAAAGTACAGGACTCCAATGAAGTTCATCAACTCAGTTTTATATGTTTTTATGGGTCTTTGTCAAAAGCAATTTTATCTTTTAATTTTCTGAATTGAGATATAACAAAGTTTGTCAAAAAAACTCTGCTGAACATGGTATTTTTTGTACTCTCTTTTTGATACAATTGAATATATGAAAGACCATATTCATAGTTATAACAAAGTGTTTTGTTATCCATAAAATCACTTGATATGACAAAATATTTACAAGGCTAAAAATGTTGAAAAATAGTTCAAAAAAAAAAGTAAAAGACCAAACATTTTTGACATAATGTCATCTTCAGGGCAAAAGAGGCTGTCTACTACTTGTATATGTCCACTACTTGCACTACTGGCCTATACTTCCCAACTATTGACACTTCTCAGTGCAAGGGATGTTTTAGTCAATAAAAGACTCTGGAAATTTTTTACATAATTGTTTTTTCAGAAAGTACATCAAGACATCAAGAATGTTGAATATACATACACCCTGTCAGATACTGAAGCAAGCCAAGCACTTAAGGAGAATTGCTCGGTTAATATCAAGGAATTCTCTTGGACCTGGACCAGCTGGTCTCAACAGCTTGCAGGATCGACTCATTCAAGTCTACCCAGAGGTTGCAGAGGCAATTGTCAGCAAGAGGCCAGTGGTTGCATTGGAATCAACCATTATTACTCATGGAATGCCATACCCTGAAAATCTTAAGTATGTGCATGGTTGATAGAACAAGCTACTCAGTACCAAACTCAATGTATTCAAGGTCTGAATGTAAATTTAAGTGCACACTGTCGATTAATCATTGCATTTTCAGTGTTGAGCTCTGGACTAAATCTTGAATTGAGTTTGTAAAACACTTGCATAGCAACTTGAACTCTAGGTTGTCGAGGGTAAGTATTAACCACTATTAAATTAGCCAGTTTGGGTATGCTGTCTTAAGGTATCAGCCAACCCACCGGGGCCGTCTGTGTGCAGATCATTCTAGCCCCCTTTGTTTCAGCACAAACCCCTATAAACTGTATATTTTTTGAAAGCTGAATAATCATGATTACAGCTAATTCCCTTTAAAAGGTATAAAACTTTAATGTGCTAAAAAAAATGAGAAGGTTTTTGCCAAACTAGTTTTTTCAGTTTATCAGTTTTTTTTTTTATTTGCCACTCATCTATTACAACAGTGTGATATATAATAAATAACATTTTAGAGTAGCAGGAGATCCCAGCAAGCTCATACAAGCTTTTCTAA